CTCTCCCACTCCCACCCTCTCACTCCACTCTCTTTCGGGCTGTCTCTATTCTACGACATCGTCACTCTTGCGCGTTTTTCCTTCCATTTATTTACGGCTAGCCAGCCGCGTTTCCGCGCAACTCAAATTTTGGCTAGAGTATGTGCCTGCTGGGGGATCATCTGCCCCCAGCGCAGGCGTTTGATCCAAATTTCCCTACTCTCTCCAGTATTGTTGCGAGGGCTGCCCTCGCGCCTCGGCGCCCGAGAACGAACGATTTATTGAGTTACGGCTTTGTACGCGGCAGTCAGGAGGTTGGTCAGGTAAGTAAGCCAGTCTGTGTAAAGCGTTTAGTAAGAGATTAAGGACTAGGTCCAGCCCTGGGTGAGCCAGATCTGACGTTTTGTGTCTGTAATAGATAAGATGAGAGTGAGGTTGAACTGGACCCAATCAAAGTCGGCGGGCGAGGGGGGGGGTATGACGAAAAACGGCGGTCGCATTTGCACATGATTGGGAGACTCTGTGGTGGACCCGCTGGGCGAAAGGAGCTCGCAGACCGTTGCAGCCTCACGATGTCATCGAGCGGAGCGAGCGCGAGCGCGGCGACCATGCAGCGGCACCAGGAGCAGCGGCGCGCTGACACGAGCGCGCTCGCCGATGCGGCGAGGGGGCAGAGGCAGATGCCCGAGCTGCCGCCGTACGTGCCAGAATTCGACCTCGCGTTCATGTCTCAGATGCTGGGCGGTGGAGCCGTCCGGTCGGAAGCAGAAGACACAGCCACTGGCGACGACGAGACGATCGTGCAGGAGGCCGCCGTCGACATTGCCCTCCAGCTTTTGACGGATGGCGAGGGGCTGCAGGCGCTGCACGCATCTGATGAACCGAGCGCAGAGAGGGTTGCACTGGAGGGCGCCGACAACGCGCTTGCAAACTCGCGTGCGACGGTCAATCAGCTTTACGAACTGGTCAGGGCGAGCGAGGGAGGAGCGGCGGTTCGCCGCATGGGCGAGGCGCGCAAGGCGCCCTCTCTGAAGACGCAGAACTGCGTGGAGAAGCCGAGTCTGAGGCTGGTTTGGGCCCAAAATCAGCCAAATTTTAGGCCAAATCGGCAAAATGCCGGGAATTTCGCGGAGAACCCGTGTATACCTGGAAATTACCCTGCGACCGCCTGGGTATTTGTCGATTCCTCAATTTTGCCTCAGATTTTGCCCCAGACCAGCTCGAATTCATCCAGGGCCGGGGAGCTAAGAAGCGCACGCAGCGGGCCGGATGATCGGGATCGGGTTGCGGGCAAGAGAGCCCTAGCCCTGGGGGTGCGCGTTTACAGCTTTTAAAAATCTCTCTCTCTCGGCGGGCGGGTGCGGCGGCAACGCGGCTGGCGGCGGGCGGCGGCGGCGGCGGCGACGGCGGCGGCCGCGCAATGTTTCCACCCTGTGGCCGCCAATCAGTGGGACGCTTGCAGTCCCGTGCCCAGTGTATACTTGTTCTTAAAATTCTTTTCAGGCCCTGCGTGTTCATGGATGTCACGCCTGGTTTTACTCCTTGCGCTGGCTTTAGCACCTTGTTTTGAATTTTTGCGCTGGCTTTACCACCTTAGCGTTCCAGGACGCCTCCATAGCAAGAGCAAGAGCCAAAGCCGCTCAGCTCTTGCGAATGAGCGTCACGCTCGTCATCCTAGCTTCCGCTTCTGCCGCACGCCGGTCGAGCATCACCAGTCCGACAGCTTTCGTCCACCTCTCTCTTCCCCACGCCGGCGGTGAGCGGCGGGCGATCGACAGACCGGCAAACACTTCTCGAGCCACAAACCAGGAATACAAGATCGAGGCTCCAGACTGGCGGGGCGCCTGCGCCTCCGTTGACCGCGCCGACTCCTCGCTGCTCGAGGTCGAGCAGGCCGAGCTCGAGCGGAGTGACCAGGCACTCGGCGACCCGCAGTGCACTCGCCACGTCGCCGCACTGCGTATTCGCCCACCCTTCGCCCCTCTAGAACACCTCATGCGCCGCTCTACCCTGCCCTGACTGCTCTGAGCGCTGCCCTGACTGCTCTGAGCGGCATTCGCTTCTATCATTCTCCTCCTGCGCGCCTGACGGAACCCCCCCTCTCCCTTCTCAGGGAGAGAGCGAGGCACCCGACATGGACACGACCGGCAGCGCTCCCTGGTACCGCCTTGTGGGTACCCTCGTGCTCGAGTCCGGGGAGCCACCCGGCTGCTGGGCCGCCCCTTGCAAGTCCCAGGCATCGCTGCCCATCCGGGCCCGGCGGTCCGAGACTGAAGCGGTGCCCATGCCTCTGCCGATTCCGCCAAAGACCGAGTTGGCGGAGGCGCAGCGTAGCGAGGCGTCGAGCCTCTTGCAGAACTACAACACGCCACAGGAGCTAGTTCGGCCCACGGAGGTCTGCGCCACTCAGATCGCCGACTCGAAGACGGCCGAGTTGACCGATCTCTTCACCATTTCAAGTGACTTTGCCGGCTCGTGGCCGCACTGCCCCTCCTTCATCTGGGCCGATTCCTCGACGCTCGAGGTCGAGCAGGGCGAGTTGCAGCGCGCGGACCAGGCGATCAGCGCTGTTCTCTGCCGCACCGCCGCATCGCGTATCGCCAACCCGTCACCCCCCTCTGGCCCTGCCTGCCGCACGGCCTGCCCTACGTGCCCTGCCAAGCCACTCGCTTCCATCACTCATCGCGCCTCTTCCAGCGTGCCTGACGGACTGTCGTACGCGCCTGCCTTTCTGCAGGCCGAGATCGACACGGCCGAAACGGCCGGCAGCTCTCCCTGGCCCCTCCTCATGGGCGCCCTCATGGGGTGCCTGGGCTTCTCTGCCGTGGCGCTGTCGTGGAGTGGCTCCTCGGCCAGCAAGACTGGCCCCGACAAGGTTGCCGGCCAGAAGCGCTTGAGGCGCGCCAAGGAGAACAAGGACATGGCACTGACTGGTGGTGGCGGCAGCACCGATGGTGTTTGCCGCGCTCAGATCTTCTACTTCTTCTTTGTCGCAATGGTCGGCCTGTGCGGCGTGACCTACGAGAACACTCGGGGGCGCGGCGCCATGTCGGGTCTCCTACCCGTCAACAGCATCGTGCCCGACTCGTGTGCGGCCGACGCAGCTTGGCAGGCCCGAAGGCTGGTCGAGACGGGCGTCGTCGGCGCGGGAGCCTTGCTGCTCGGGCGGGTCCCGTCGCTCGAGCCATCCGCCGCCCAACTCCGCGTGGCCGCCGCCGCGCTGCTCGTCGGCAGGGCGGCCGCGTCGCCGCCCTCTCCGACGCCTCTTTTACCCTACAACAACGAGACGGGATGGTCGACGCTCTGGAGCAGGACCGGCGACGAATGGCGCGACGTGGCGGTCGCCCTGCCCGCCTCGGCGACGCAGGACCGCTTCAACGGCCGGACGGGGTCGGGCTACAGGTCGGACAGGGCGCTGAACGACGTCTCCTTCTCGCAGTTTGCGCCGCCAGCGTCGCCGCAGCTGCCGCCGCTCACTCCGCCGCCACCTCTGTCGCCGCCGCCTACCTACGCTGCGAGCACCTTCACCGAGCTCCGGGACGCGGTCAACAACCAAACCGGCACGCCCTCGCCGCCGCCGCCCTCTCCGCCGCCGCCACCGCCGCCCCCTCCGCCGCCGTCGCCTCCGCCTCAGAGGCCGCCGCCCTCGCCGCCCTCGCCGCCCTCGCCACCATCGCTGCCGCCGTCGCCGCCGTCGCCGCCGTCGCCGCCGTCGCCGCCGTCGCCGCCGCCGCCGCCGCCGCCACCGCAGCGCCCACCGCCGCCTTCGCCACCACTGCCCCCTCCGCCGCCTTGGACGGGTTTCGTCGATAACTGGTGGCTGGTTCGGCGTGTTCAAAGCGGCACTACGTGGCATCCAGCCACCGATGGGCTGATGGGAACTGACGTCTACGGCACTCCATGTGGGCCCTCCGACTCGTGCACTTTCTCGATTGATTGGTCAAACGTCCCCTTCACGCACTTCCTCTTCGCGACGGGTGATGCGGCAAAGTGGCTCATCTGCACCAGAGACGCCGCCATTGGAACTACGTACAGTAATTCTCGTCGACCGATCCTTGCATCCTCCATCAACAGCGACAGCTATTATGCGCGGTGGTACAACCGTGGTCCGCCTGGAGACCCATGGATTTCCCTCGTCGACCACGGGGATGCAATACCTGCGGGTGATCTGCTGTACGGAGGAGCCAGCCAGGTCATGCGTGGCGAATCCGTCTTGCACAACAACAACGGTGCCAATGTGTACATTGGCGCCATCCGTCCGCCCCCCCCACCTCCGACACCGCCTGGCGACCTCCGTCGTCGAGCTGCCTTTGTCGCCGCGGCGAGCGAGGCCGAGCTCCGCAACCTGATCCAGAGCGCTAGCGACGACGTCTCAATCTATTTGCCGCCCAGTTCGGACTTCAAGCTGTTCAGCCGGATCAGCTGCGGCTCGGACATCAAGGTGACCGTCGCGAGCAGCGGCGAGGGCGCGACGCTCGACGGCCAGGAACAGACCGGGCTCTTTTACCTCGAGGGCGGCTGCAGTCTCACCCTGCGGGGGCTGACCCTTGTCAACGGGAGGGCGAAGGTCGGCGCGCACCAGAACGGCGGCGTTGTGGAGGCGAGGGGCGCAGGCGACGTCGAGATCATCGACTCGGATGTGAGGGACTGCAGGGCTGACGGGGTGCGGCGCGTAGAGCTAGCCGCCTCCCTGCAGCGCCGCACGGCAGCGGGGCGAGAGATATAGAGGGCCACGGCTGCCTCACCCCGCTCTCTCCTCGCAACCGCAGGTCGGCGGTGTCGTCTACGCGGGGAACAGCGGTGCGGTCTCGATAATCGGGTCGACGGTGACTAGCTGCTCGGCTGATGTGCGCCGCGTAGAGCTAGCCGCACTCCAGCAGCGCCGCACGGCAGCGGGGCGAGAGGTAGAGGGCTCTGGCTGCCTCACCCCGCTCTCTCCTCGCAACCGCAGCGCGGCGGTGTCGTCTACGCGTATCAAAGCGGTGCGGTCTCCATAATCGGCTCGGCCGTGAGCGACTGCTCTGCTGGCTATGTGCGCCGCGTAGAGCTAGCCGCCTCCCAGCAGCGCCGCACGGCAGCGGGAAAAGAGATGTAGAGGGCCGGGGGGCGGGGCACGGCTGCCTCACCCTGCTCTCTCCTCGCAACCGCAGCGCGGCGGCGTCGTCTGGGCGAGGGAGAGCGAGTCCCTCTCCATCGCGGGTGTCGACTTCATCAACAACGAAGCGCACTCAGCCTCGGTGCTGTACCTTGTAAGCACGCGCTCCTCGATCAGCGACGCCTCCTTCACCGGCAACGTCGCTGGCGACAAGAAGACGGTACAGACAAACTCGCCGATAGACTGGGGCTGCCGCTTGGGCAGCTGGATGCCGACAGAGGGCGCCTTCGAAGGCAACTTCAGCGTCCCCGAGTGCAACCCTTGCTTCGCTGGCTACTACGGGAACACGAGCGGCCTCACCGACTTCAGGTGCGATGGTCTGTGTGAGAAAGGCTACTTTTGTCCCGCGGGCACAGCGGAACCGCTCCCGTGTGCGCCGGGTTTCTACATGCCCATGATGGGCGCAGCCAGTGCCGAGTCGTGCATCCCTTGCACTCCGGGGAGGAGCCAGTCCACAGCCGGCGCGGTACAATCCTGCGACCCGTGTCCTCCTGGCACGTTCACCGATCAACTCAGCGCCACCAGCTGCACCGACTGCCCCGCGGGGAGCTTCTGCCCGAAGGCAGGCACCGTGCAGCCCCTCGACTGTGCCGCAGGGGAGTACCAGAACCTCACCGGCCAGGCTGCGTGCGTGCAGTGCCCTGCTGGCGAGTTCCAGCCGGAGCGCGGGCGGACGTCGTGCGACTCGTGTGCCGCGGGTGGGTACTGCGATACCACCAAGGACTGCGGCGGCGGCTTCACGCCCTGCCTTGCGGGGAGCTACAACGAGAAGACGGGCAGCAGCTCGCCCGACGCCTGTCAGCAGTGCCCCCCCGGAACCTCCAGCCCGACCGCCGGCGCAGTCAGCAGCGAGACGTGCGCGAGCTGCCGTGCTGGGACGTTTGGCGGCGAGCCCGGGCTGAGCGAGTGCACGGACTGCCCTGCCGGCAGCTATCAGAATGACACCGGCGCGACGTCCTGCCGCAACTGCGAGAAGGGACGCTACTGCGTTAAGGGCGCGTCGGCGCCACTGCCTTGCGACGCGGGTACCTTCTCGGACAGGACGGATCTCACCGACGCGAGCGAGTGCACCGACGCCTCGCCGGGCCACTTCGCCACCACGGGCTCCACGAAGCAGACGCCGTGTGCCAAGGGCAGCTACGCCGCCACGGCTGGCCTCTCCGAGTGCGAGCCGTGTGCTGGCGGGACCTATCAGAACGACACGGGCGCGACGTCCTGCCGCGACTGCGAGAAGGGACGCTACTGTGTTAAGGGCGCGTCGGCGCCGCTGCCGTGCGACGCGGGTTATTACTCGGACAAGACAGACCTCACCGACGCGAGCGAGTGCACCGCTGCCGATCCGGGCCACTTCGCCACCACGGGCGCCACGCAGCAGACGCCGTGTGCTCCAGGCAGCATCGCCCCCTCGGCCAACATGCCTGCTTGCGTGCTGTGCCCGAAAGGCAACTTCGCTGCCTTCCGCACCGCTTGCGAGGAGTGCGAGGCGGGCACCTACGCGGCGAGCGATGGCCTCTCGCAGTGCACCCTCTGCCCCCACCCCCTCAGCTCCAAGAGCGGCGATGTCACCTGCTCCATCTGCAAGGAGGGCTTCTACTTGAAGGACTCGAGCGCCGATCCAGACGACATTTTCCAGAACCCGACCGAGCACTGCAAGCCGTGCCCGCCGCACGCCAACTGCAGCGCCGGCACCGCTCTCTCGTCCCTCGGCGTGGACGTCGGCTACTGGCGCGCCTCCGACGCCACCTCGGAGCTCCACCGCTGTGACTCAGAGACGTGCTCTGGTGGCTCCGGCCAGCCCTCCCGCCGCCGCCGCCTTACCGATGGAGATGACGACCCCTACTGCACCGCCGGCCACACCGGCCCGCTCTGCGAGGTCTGCGTCGCGGACTCGGACTACTTTAGCTCTGCCGAGGGGCGCTGCGTCGCGTGCCCCTCGACGGCTCGCTCCGCCAGCGTCTTTGCCGGCTTTGTCATCTTCATCGCTGTGCTCGCCGCCGCCTACGCTGGGGTCCGTCGTATCCCCTTCTCCCGCCGCCTCCGGAGGCGGGCCGCCCGCATCGAGTCCGAGGTCGGCTTGCAGCCCAAGTTCAAGATCCTCGTCAGCTTCTACCAAGTGAGCAGCATCCTCGGCGTCGTCTACGGCGTCCGCCTCGACGAGCACTTCACGCGCTGGCTCGACGTGCTCAAGCTGTTCAGCCTGGACCTGTTTGGCGTTGCCATCCCTGGCCGCTGCATCGGAGCCATGAGCACGCGGCTGCTCGTCGCGGGCATCTGGCCGTACGCCGCTGTCGCCTTCGTGTCGCTCGCCATTGTGGCGGTGGCGGCGGTCCTTAACGTCAAGCAGGCATTCGACCGCAGTCTCTTTGGCTGCGTGCTCTACTGGGCGATCTTCATCTTCTACCTGGTGCTGCCCTCCGTCTCGCGCTCCATCTTCAGCGCGAGGCTGTGCGAGTCCTTTGGCTACGACGACGCCACAGGCCAGCGCATCAGCTTCCTGCTCGCCGACCCGTCGCTCACGTGCGACGCCGGCCCAACGTGGGACGACCAGACGAGCGGACTCGCGCCGTACTTTTGGGCCTTCTTTGCCCTCTGGCCCGTCCTCGTGCCGCTCGGCTTCTTGGCGCTGCTGCTCCGCGTCCGCAAGCCCGTGGCTGCGCAGCGCGCAACGCCGCTCGCCCGCGCGACGAGCTTCCTCTGGCGGGACTACTCTGCCCGCTTCCTCTTCTGGGAGGTGCTCGACCTGCTCCGCAAGATCTTCCTCACCTCGATGGTGCTCTTCATCGATCAGGAGTACGGCTCCAGGAAGCTGCAGCGCACCGTGGTCGCCGCCATCGTCTCGGCCATGTTTCTCACCATCTTAGCCCTCGCCCGCCCCTACCGGCGCTCCGACGACCTCGGCCTAGCGTGCGTCTCCAACTTGCTGCTCACCTGCTGCTTCGCGTCGGGAGTGGTCGTCCAGGTCGGCGCTGCCTCACCGCCCCTCTCTCCCGCGTCCGCGCAACCTCACACCACCCGCCCCCTCGACGCCGTAGCTGTGCGACAGCACTATGTACGAAGGCATGTGCTACAATCTCGTCGGCTACACTACCTCGCGCAGCGCCACCACCTTTGTCGTCGTCCTCACCGCGGTCATGCTCGCCATCTCGCTAGCCGTCATCCTCGTATCGGCGGTCAGCGCCGCGAGGGCGAAGACCATGCGGCTCGCCTCGTCGAAGCGCGAGCCGATGCGCGACGGCATCACCCTCGCCGACGGCCAGCAGTGGCACCTCTTCCTCAGCCACGTCTGGAGCACGGGGCAGGTTTGCCACTCCCTTGCCTCACCAGTTTTCGGAGAAGACCTGACCTGGCCTTCCTCCCTTGTAGGACGCCGTCGCGGTCATCAAGAATGAGCTTCTGCAGTTCCTGCCCGGCTGCGAGATCTTCCTCGATGTCGACGACCTCAAGAACATCAGAGAGCTGGAGGCGTACATTCGTCGCTCGCAGGTGGTGCTCTGCTTCCTCTCGAAGGGCTACTTGCGCTCGACAAACTGCCTGCGAGAGATCCGCGCAGCGCTGGAGATGAGCAAGCCGCTCATGCTCGTCCACGAGGCAGACCCGGCCAAGGGCGGAGGCACGCTCGCCAAGCTGCGATCCGAGTGCCCCGAGGAGCTGCGGGCCGCCATCTTTGACGCCGGCTGGCCGATGGTGGTGTGGCATCGGATCGAGGCCTTCCAGCACGTCTCGCTCAAAGTCATCGCCGAGGCGCTGCTGCTGAAGACGCCAAAGTACGCGAGCGAGGAGGCGCTGCAACTGTGCATCCCGGGCGAGCTTCGAGCGGACGGCCTCACTTTCACCAAGCCGACGGTCCTCTGGGCCTCGCCCTCAAATGTCGGGGCGCGAGAGCTCGCCGACGACCTCGCCGCGGCGGTCACCGGCAGCCGCGCCGTCACTGACGCAACCCCCTCGGTCCTCTCCTCGCTGCCTGCGAGCAACAGCGAAGGCGACGAGGCGACCCACATGCTGCTCTACTTGAACAAGGCGACCTGGGCCGGCAAAAGCGCCGAGGCGCTCGCAGAGCAGGTGCGTGCCGCGCGCAGAGCCAGGCTGCCGATCGTCATGGCGCACGAGAACGACGCCGTCCGCGGCGGCTGCATCTTTGCACACTTTTTCGAGGTGACGCCGCGCGACCTGATCGCCGATGGGCTGTACCATGACCTCGCCGTCGGCTGCCACGCCGACCCGCACCGGCAGGTGTCGATAGCCCTCCTCGCACAGGCGCTCGGCGCGACCAAGCAGACGGCTCAGTCGCGCGTTCGCCGCGTCACCGCCCTCGCTCGAACGACGCAGCCCCGCGGCTCCTCTTCAAAGACGGAGCCGTCGAGTGGCGATGACCTTGCCGAAGCCTGCGAAGAGTCGGCAGCGCCGCATGCCCAGATGAGCCAGATCGTCTGACCACCACCATCTCGCACCACCACCTCCACGCATGTTCACTAGCTAGCACTGCGAAGCGAGTTTTGCCCTCCCCGTCCTCCCTGCCTGCGCCTGCGGTCGCGAGCGTTTTGTCCCTCCCCTTCTCCCTCCCTGTCTGCGCCTGCGGCGCGACACGTTTTTGTCCCTCCACTTCTCCCTGCCTGTCTCTCTCCCTGCCTGTCTCTCTCCCTGCCTGTCTCCGCCTGCGGCGCGAAAACGTTTCGAGGTGAAGACTAGGTCCAGCCCAGGGTGGCACAGATCTGACGTTTTGTGACATCGTCAGATCGGTGTTTTTCTCGTTGTTGTTTTGTCGCTTGCTCCGCTCGCCACCTCTCCATGGCCAGTACCCCCACCAACACCACAAACACGCTCACTTCGCCGCTGCTGTAGATGGGCCCCCCGGGGCCCCCATACTACGTCGAAGTACGGACCCGATCTCGGCACTCACGGGGGCTGCCACGCGCCCGCGCGCGGCGCGGGCCGCACCGCCCATGCCCCCGGGTCACCGACCCCGCCTCTCGACCCTCTCAGGCCCTCAGGATCGTGCGGGAGACCGGCGCGCGCGCCGCCTGCAGAGCCGTCAGAGGCATTGCCGCCTCCGCTGGCGGGGTCCCGCGCGTCCGCCCGCGCCCGCGCCCGCCCACGCCGCGCCCGCGGGCTCCGGATGCGCCGCCATCCTTCTCCTTCTTCTCGATGGCAGTCCGCGTGTGCTTGTCGACGGGTCGGCGGCGTGGTCGAGGCAGCACACAGAGCTCAGAGGAAGTCTCATAGGTCAGAGCGAAGGACCGGGTGATGCTCCGATAAACCCTCCGGATCTTCGACAAAAGTCGGAAATTTCTTTAGAGCAAGGTCGACCTTAGAGCAAGGTCGAGGGCGGGCCCTCTCGGGCTCGGGCCGCCCTCTCGCCCGCACCTCTGCGGGGCTTGCACGCTAACTCGCACTCATGGCGGTTTTATTTTGTTATGGTAAGTTAAAAAAGAAAAACTCGAGGTTCATCTGGTAACCTCGCTCGATCCCTCGGCACCAGAATCGCTGCTCTCGATCCCCTGTGCCCATGGGCAAGTGAGCCGTATCCTCCTCCGCCGCGCGTCCACGCGCGCCGCACTGCTCTCACTCATGCCGGTGCCACTCGCGCAGGCAAGCTGAAGTGGAGCCTCTGTCTGCCGTGCTCAAGCGCGCCGGCAAGAAAGCGCTTGGCGGCGGCCTCGCCGGTGTGCTCCTCCCAAGCACACGTCATGCTGGCTGCGCGTCCGCCCGCTCTGCTGCGTCCTGCGCGTGTGCCGCGGCGCGCCGCCCTCACCTCGCCGGCTCGCTGGCAGGCGCTCTCGCCATGGTGGCGCAGGTCGGGCTGCTGATGTGGATGCGCACGACGATGAACTACCAGCACGCCAACGGCCTGTCGACGATGGAGGCGATCTCGGCGCTGTACGCGATGGGCGGGCTCGCGCGGCTCTACCAGGGCTGGCAGGCCGCGCTGCTCCAGGCGCCGCTCTCGCGCTTTGGCGACACGGCTGCGAACGCGGGCGTGCTTGCCGTGCTGTCCGGCGTCGGCTGGATGCCAGAGGGTGAGAGTCCTCCGCCTTTACCCTCCACCTCGTCCACCGCCGCCCTCACCGCCGCCTTCGCCGCCGCCGCCGCCGCCGCCGCCGCCCTCCCCACCACCGCCCTCGACGCCGCCGTCCGCCGTCCGCCGTCCTCCGACCCCGCCTCCCCACCACCCTCTCACCGCCGCCGCCCACGCCGCCGCCGCCCACGCCGCCGCCGCCGCCGCCGCCGCCCCCATCTCCTCCGGCCCCGTCGACACCGCCCTCTCATCCTCACCCCACACCCTCCCCCCACACCGCCACTCCACACCCTCACCCCACACCCTCACCCCACACCGCCACCCCACACCCTCACCCCACACCCTCACCCCACACCCTCCTCAGTCACCCTCCACTCACCCGTCCCACCCCACACCCTCACCCCACACCCTCACCCCTCACCCTCCACCCGCTCCCGGCAGGCCTCAAGACCTTCTTCGCCTCGTGGGCGGCGGCGGGCTTTCGCATCCTCATCACGCCAGTGGACGCGCTCAAGACCACGCTGCAGGTGCCTCACCTCTCGAAACTCTCGACCTCACCTCTCACCCCGCCTCACCTCCCACCTCGCCCCACCTCTCACCCCGCCTCACCTCTCGCCTCGCCTCACCTCACCTCCCACCTCGCCTCACCTCTCACCTCGCCTCACCTCTCACCCCGCCTCACCTCCCACCTCGCCTCACCTCTCACCTCGCCTCACCTCTCACCTCGCCTCACCTCTCACCTCACCTCACCTCCCACCTCGCCTCACCTCTCACCTCGCCTCACCTGCCTCCCGTCACCTCGCAGGTTCAAGGCTCCGCCGGCCTCACCATCCTCGCCGACCGCGTCGCCAAGGCCCTGAAAAAAGAAATCACGCGTGCGTAGGGGACCCATATCACATCACGCTGGTGTGAACAGCGCCCGAACCCACACTCGGGACCCACCGCAAACTGCCCACGAGTCGAACGGCGGGACAGTCCACCAGCCAGTGTGAGCACGCTCCAGCCGCCTGGCGCCATCTTGGGGCGCCCTCGGCGGCCGGCCGCGCCACACGCGACCCGCACACGCGACCCCCCCCCCCCCCCA